CGGGCTGGTAACGGCTGTTGCTCCTGCTGAGTGGCTGCATGGGAGAGTTCAGCACAGAGGGCTTGCTCAGGGCTTCTTTGGCTACTGAACATTTCTGGTGCTCTGCTGATCACCAGTCCCCTTTGGGGGATGCAAAAAGGGAAAGGGGCTCTCTGCAAAAAGTCTGCTCAGTCTGTAAGTCTGTCTCCATGGAACAGCATGGACGCATGCAGTGGTATCACAGGGATGAGAGCTGGTCTTCCCCTAGAGAGGCAACTAAGAAGAGAAGAGTGCTTGAAGTTAATTCTGGCCTATTAAGTGACATTTTAGCCTGGTGTTTCTCACATAGACTGAAACATGATCAGAGGCCTTGAAATAAACACTGATTTAATGGCTTGAAGTGTAGAAGCTGGAAAGGTTTTGAAAAGACCTTGTGTATATATGAGAATAAACACAAGCAGTCCACTTGGGGCATCCTAAGTTCCTTGCTTTCTACGAATGCCAGGGCACTTAGCACACAGGCTCTCTTCTAAAAGCTTTCTGCTCTCTAGAATCGCAAATGAAATGTTCTTTTCGTCCCAGCCTCTTGGCACAGCCCACTCCCAAAGACATCCACCTCTGCTTGCAGCCCCAGCTTCCTCTGCCCCTCTCCACAGAGAAGCCCCTGCCCGTACCAGCTTTAGGCAACAAACCCACATCACAGCTGGTCACCAGCAGCCCTGCTCCCATAGGTGGGGCAGGAAGGAGCCTGCTGGGTCAGAAGAGAAGGCTTCAGAATGGAGACTCAGAACAGAATCATAGAATATCTCAAGTCGGAAGATCAGCTGTGTTCAGAAATACCTGGTGCTCACTGTCCCTGTGTATGAGGGCTTTGGGAATAGCAGCTGGGTTAAATAATGCAGTATTTTCTTTGTTTCCAAACACAACTAATTCAACCAATTTGATTCCTTCTTCCTTCACCTTGCTTCTCATTTCTCAAAGTCAAGACAAGATTAATGAACCCCACAGTTCTGCTGGAGGGCTCTGCCTTTTTCAAAATACTTCAAGCCACAAAAATATCCACAAAAATACCTTCAGCAAGCAGAGAACTAAAGCTGAAAAAACCAAGTTCAGAAGCAATTAACATCAATCTAAAATTCAGTTGTTTTGGGGGCTAAGCTTAAAAATAAAAAGCAATTACTGTTGTGGCAAACTCAAATAATATATTGTTTCTCCAAAGTTAATTTAGCAAAAGGAGTCTGCCTTCACCAACAGCAGCAATAAAAAGGATTATATAAAAAGCTATTTGCTTGCACTGAACTTTCTAGTAATGTTATCCCCACAAATTTATTTCTCAAGAGCATATCAGCCTTTGCCTGGCACTTGGGGAAGCAAAAACTCTTCCATACAGCATGAGCAACACAGACCAGCTCTGACCAGCTCTCACAAGCATCCATTCAAACAGCAGAGACTTCCCTGTCCTTGACCATGAGTGTGAGAAGAGCCCATCATCTGCTTCTCTCCTCCCAGTTAGGGACCTGGAAAGCAATGGGAGCTCTGGTGCTAAGGGATGGGGCCGGAGCACAGCGTCCTGGGTTGCAGTCCTGGCAGAAATATTTCAAAAGCAGTGTGAAACATCGCCACGCAGTGAATATGTAGCACGCAATAGCAGAGTGCTTGGCCAATGGAAACACCACCCAACGTGTGAAAGTCAGTTTGCAGATTTTGAGAAGTGCTCAGACTGCCCCTAGTCAATAACTGCAGCTTTCCTATGTGCTGCACTCCTGCAAACCACCCTGGAGCCTGCCTGTGCCAGAAGCTCTTTTAAAAACTTTAAGCCAACAGTTTTCAGGAAGTTAGCACAGTATTTTCAATCAGGTCTTTGCACTGACACTGGCAAAGGAAACGCAGAGTGGTCTGTCAACAGCTTTGAGATGGCAGAAGAGGATTTTGCCACTGTGGCTAATGGTGGAGGCATCTGCAGGCAGCAAACAGCCTACAGTGCTGCTGGGCTGGGGCCGGGCAGTAGGAAGGGCCACCTCACATTTGCTTATGAATGTGCCCAACACCTTTACACAATTGCTTCAAAAGAGGAGAATAAAGAGAATATTTCTTCTCTGCTCTACAGCTCATTCAGGGGCTCAAGTTTTCATTCCAAACCACTTGACAGTATCTCATTAACCTACTGCATATAATAAATGCTCCCAATAACAATCACCAAGTCACAAGAAATTGAAAAATCCCATAAAATATAAATAGAAATACTTGCAGGCTCATTTATTTTTCAACTCTAGTATTAAAGAAAATGAGGCCTGCCACCCCTCTGTGATAAATACAAGTCCCATTGCAGAATGTCAAAAATTGCCAGGAACATATCCCTAGCTTCACACTATGTAAAATACATAACCATTTTCTTCCACATAAAGGAAACATCTGTAAAGCTGAATCTGCCTGCAGTGTTCAGATAGATGGAGAGATGCAAAGCTGTTCCCCACTGGAAAGCTTGGCATCCCCTGGGTCACTGCACCAAACACACATGAGGGCAGGAGATGAGCCTGCCGCTTCCACAGGGCTCAGCACCAACAAAGCCAACCTGTCCCTCTCGCTGCTGTCCTCAGGTTGACAAAGACCTCCTGTCTCCCCAGGTTTTGCTTCCCTTTGCCAGAGGATTTTCCACAGGAGCACCCCAAGACCCATGGGGACCTGAGAGCTCCCACCACGGCTTCACACAGTCATGGCAAACATATGAAACCCTGGCTTCAACAGAAAACATTCAGCAAAAAAAAGCTGAAATCAGGGGAGGTAAAGGAGGAACAGCAGCTCCTTGCTGGTAGCTGACAAGCGAAGTGCTCAAAACCAAAAATGTACAACGTGGAAAAGGATGGAAGCAAGATTAAATTATACACCTAGAAGGAAGTCTGCATGTGCCACCAATCATGAGAAATGAAGGACTGCATCAGCATGGCTCAAACACAGCCACAGCCAAAATTGAACCTGAAGTATAATGAAAGTGAGATTTGACCACAGTGTTTGATCAGAACATCCAGGCAATGGTGAATCAATATTTATGCTGAAGAGCTTTCAACCTGCCACGGTTTTTCATTCATCAGACCCCTGAGAACACCTTATGCTGCCTTTTAGCATCTAAACATGCTGTCAGATCTGCCAGGGTCAGGCCGATCAGCTGGTGGCACCTGCTAATTCCCAGCAGAACTCAGCCTCTTCAGGAAGTGCCTCTGAAAACCCTTCTCCTGTTCAGAGGGCATTTTTGGCAGTGAGCTGACAGGGCAGACAGGTATCCCTGCAGCAGGCAAACCCTCATCCTCCCTAGTACTTCTCATGGTGTGCTATGCTGCATGCTTTTAACTATTGCAACTGGAAAGAAAGAGGAAAGACACTTACAAAGCCTAAATCTAAGAGGATTCAGCTTTGTTTTTTCATTGTTTAATGAGCACATTCCACTTAAGCTGCAGTTTTCCAGGCAAATGGCAGCACTCCACCCACCAAAGGACTAATCCACCCATAAGGAGGCAGAAATGCTGTAAAGGAGTGTTGGAAATATCAGCCTAAACTTTCAAAGCACACAAACAAGTCAAACAAGTACAAGACAGCATCTGTCTCCATCAATGGCAAATAGAACATTACCAAAAACCGTGAGCAAGGTAAGATACTCTCTGAGCTCTCAGTTTCTAAGCTGAGAGATTTTCCCTCTGTGAATGTGGAAATGTATTTGGGGAGATTTTTTTTCATCATTGTCAGAAATAGATTCTTTTTTCCTAACATCTTCAAAGGAACAAAAAAACATAGGGACAATTGTCTGGTGTCAGCACCTTAATTCCCTTTACAGAGCAGCGGGGTAGCCTACGCACTTAACTACATTTCTGGTATTAAAAAGTCAAGACACATTTCATTAAGTAAAACACATTACTTTTCAGCATTGATTAGCAGGTTACAACGTGCCCTGCTAAGTGTGCATTAAAGCAGCAACCTGGGTTACCAGTGACTTTCCTGATGCTTGAGTAGGTGCATGAGAGCTGGAATGTTCCTCTGATAGCACAATGCTTTGAGGAGATCCATTAAGAAGAGAAATCATCTTTGAAGATGTATCATCTCTCTCTGTGCACTGAAGAGAGTGGGATGCAGCTGGCACAGGTAAGCCCAAGAGCTAGAAAGCTGTGAGGGCAGCATGGTATGGCAGGGTCTCTTTGAGGGCAACATCATGTTTCCCTTTCTCTACTATTTCTTCCTGGTCTCCTTTCAGTAACTCATTAGGGAAAGGTTTTGTGGAAGATCAGATTGCATACATTTCTATCAGTGCAATTTCCTCCAAGGCATTTCTCATGTCACCTGAGTGCCCAGACAGGGGAAGGGTGAAGAATTGTTTCTGAAATTTTAAACTTGAAACATCAAAAAAAGATATTTCCTAGAGCTAATTCTGAGGAAACGCTGTGGAAATGCACAACTCTCATCACTACTGGAATATTGCTTCCTCTTGTGTCCATGCCAGCAGCCCAGGTTTGGTCAGATGTTTCATACCCTTGTGTAAAATGGGCTTGGTGGGCATTAAGTTCAGCTCCCCACAATGGTGAATCAATATTTATGCTGATCAGCATCACTGTCTGCTTGGCCAGTCAAAAGGGAAGAGACAAACCCTAGTCCTGCAGAAAAACCCCCAGATCATATCTGAGAATGGCAGAGCCAGTGCCAGCCCCAGGTCCTAGGGACAGCCATGGGCAGGATCCAGGCTTCTTGAGCAGTTTCTTTTGGCATCGCCTTTCCAGGATCACAGCGATCAGTACCAAAATGTGTCAGTATGCAGTTTTTGATGGGATCTTATCTGTCCAACTGCAAGGAAGTCCAAAATTCATCTAAGCCACACCTTACATCTACACAAATAAAAGAGCAAAACCAGGCACCGCTCCACAAGCGGAGACCATAATCTACAGGCAAACAGCAAAGAACACCCCACAGCTTTGCAGGCACACCATAGCAGCTCACTGGTTGGATGAGACATGGTACAGGAGCCATACAACGCATCCTACCTCACATTAACATCAAGCTCTTCCATCACAGGCAATAGGCATAGGTAGCTGGGTGTTCAATGTCCATAGAAAAGACCTTGTCCTGCAGTGGAGAGAGTTAGAAAGGAGAGTTATAAGTTAAAGAACCTCTCATGGGTTCACATTTACCCCAGTGATGACACCCGTTCACTGCATTTTACCCCTCTGCTCTGTTCCTTATTGACAGCAGAGGTTAAGTAGAGGTGTTGAAATGAAATCATACCATTGCAAAGAGTTGCCACAACACAATTCTCTGCTATCTGCTATCTGAAACAAGTGACCTCTTCCAGCCTATGCTTATATAGGCCTTCCCATTCGAAATGGGACATGACAACATACAGCTGCACAGGACCTAAGTCTTCCATACATACAAACACTCAAAGCAATAGGAAGTTGTTTAAATACAATCAGTTAAGGAAAGCTTGCAAAACCTGGCTGGGAAAAGACAAGCTAGAATGCTTGGTAAATTAGTTTCTGTTTTTACATGAAATTAAAACATTGACTTACAACTAAATTAAAACAGGTTTCCTGTGACACTGTATTGTATAGCCTCATGAATACTTAATAGTAGCACTGTAATTACAAAGAACTAAATGATTTGCAGCTTGAGTTAAAATAAATGTACTTACTCCCAGTAACACTAAGTGATATAAATATTAATGGGGCTTTTAATTCTATCAAAAATCCATCATGAGAAATGAATACACCATCCTAATAATGAGACTGTGTGTTTGCTGCTGTTAACTCAATGAAAAAAAAATGGGATATGTTTCTGAGCATTTCTGGCTTTTAATTGCCCCTTGTGTTATTTCTCTGGAGAGCCATGGATAATGCTACCACCATGGCACTATTAATAATAACTCAAATGAAAATAATGTCATGGTGGTTACTTGGATTCAGAGATTGCAGTAGTACTGAGTCAGGCTTCCCGGATGCGATGCCAGGTTTGTCGTGCAAATGAACACCCACCATCCAGGCCTGGTTCAGCACTTACCAGAATTAGCACTTCAGAAGGTATAGACTATACATAGTTTTGCCAACAAAACTTACACAAGAGAGCGTTTTATCTGAGGAAAGACTTTAATATGTAGACTACCACTGCGTTTTGCATGTATAAGGATGACAAGTCTAACATTTTTCATCGAGTCACCTCTGCATCCCTAAGAAATCACCTCCAATTTTAATTTGGAGGTGAAAATATATCATCTCCTCTGCTCCAGCTCTGGAGTTCGCCCATGGAATGAAATGCCTGGCAGGCTGCTGGGACAGCTGCCTGTCAAAGATGCAGGAAGAGTATCCTAGAAATGTTCTTTGGGGATATAAAAATGCAATCAGTGTTCTCTGAGCTCAAAGTAATGGACAAAAATAAACCTAATTATTTCATCTCCAAAGAGACCTGAGTAACCTCCAAGTTGAAATCGCTCATTTGGCATATGAGTTGAGTTAATTGAAATTAATTTGTAGGAAATGCATAAGAATGGGTCTAACACAGTGTTTTGGTTCAAATCAAGGCAGGAGCCCTTTCTTTCCCGTTCTGTCAATTCAGAAAGGATAGCTGTACAGCAAACAGGACACACAGTAAATTGCAGCCTGCCACAGCTGGTGAGCACCGCTTCCTTCTCCCTCACTGCAGCCTTCAAAAGCATGGCATCGTCCCGGTGTGCCATGCAGGAGGCTGAGGACCAAAGGGGCTCACTGACCCCACCATGGGGACTCGGATAGGGCAGAAACAGCCCCCAGACCTAAGATATTCACTTGGTCTTAGGCTGAGTTAGCACTGGTGTGCCACGAGGAAAATCTGAGTAGCTGACGCTGACTCAAGGAAAACTGTTCCTTTGCTGTGCAGAAGAAAAGGGACATGAGCACTCACTGTCACAGTGGGAGGGCACCGCACTGTTTGCTGCCGTTTACACCTGTTACAGTTCTGAGCTGCAAGGGAAAGATGTACGTGTGGGCGTGAGCAAGAGCAGAGGGTGGGCATGAAACAAAAAAATGCCACCCATCTGCACTACCCCAGCCCACATCTTCCCTTCTGCATTGGTATTTTAGAGGACGTCTTTCCTTTTGCTTCTCCCCACAGCAGCACAGAGGTGGGATTTGCAATAACTGGAGTCTCAAAGAAAAATGACACAATATCATATAATGCAAAATCTCTCAAAGAATTACTCTGTAAACATATTTGGCTCATATTAAGGGCCTGATGCTGTTCTTTGTTATTAAAGTGATTACTCATACTCAATTAGGAAACTGTCCTTTGCCTCAGAGAGACAACAGTCCTCCTAACTCAGCCTGCATGTCACCCAGCCCATCACACATGTAGCCCCTCCTGCACAAAATAGCACACCAACAGTGTATTATTAGAACAAAGTGGAATGTTTAGTTGATTGTATTATCATAGAATGATAGAATGACTTGGGTTGAAAAAGACATCAAAGGTCATCTAGTTTCAATCCCCATGATGTGGGAAGGATCACCAACCAGTAGACCAGGCTGCCCAGAGCCACATCCAGCCTGGCCTTGAATGCCTCCAAGGACAGAATGGGATTACCCTTAAAACAGGTAATCAGAAAAAAAAAACCAAAAACATATCTATATTAATGATATTTTAGAATTTAAAAAACAAATAAGGAACTCTTAAGCTAAAAAACCTTTGCAAAAAAACTGTTCCCCCAAAGAAGCTTCTACTGAGACCAGTACTTTTGGCAGTATTTTCCATGTCAGCAAAGTCCAACATTTTTAATGGAAAAAGTTTGAAGCACAGCATCTTCAGCAAGCTTGACATGACAGCTGCATAGTCTCCTCTGTGTGACAAGAAATCTTCATCTTATTTTATTCTCCTCTAATCAGTGCTACCAAAAAAGAGCAGATATATCATATGCGGATGACTAGTCCTAGTCATCACTGACTGCACTTGAGACTGGCTCAGACATGAGAAAAGCAATCCAGTTACAAGTCTCAGCAAGGCTGCACTGATGGTATTCAGTGAAACCAGAAGCCACCCATCTGTCAAGAATGTGTGCCCCGTACCTCTACCCAGCACACCACTAAGGCAGCCCAGCAATAGTGCCCTAGCTCTGCCTCTCCACTCCCTTACCTACACAGTCATGGGATGCAAAAAAGGAACAAGAACATGGGTGAATCAATGCACCTTCCTAACCAAGTTGTAGAGACTGTTGGGGATCCTTTACTCAGTAGCTTTAAGACTAACCAGGAATTCACTTCTCCAAGACCACGAGTGAGCTGGCCAGCGCAACTAACGTCCTCTCTTACCTGACCACAGATTCGCCCGCTCTGCCCAGTGGCCTTGGTGGGTTTTGCTGCCAGGAGCCTTGTTCTGCCTGGTAGAAATGGAAGTGTCCCACCAGATGACACGTACAGCCAAGCCAGCCTTGTGAGGAATTTTTTCTTGCAAGGCACCGATTTACTGAGACACTGACACATTCTTTATCCAATTTATTCCCATCCTACTCAAGCCACATCTAGTTCCACTTTCTGTCACTGCTGAGCTGATGACAACAGAAAAGTTGAGTCACTCTCCTGAAAAACTTACACCTCCATTTCTCGCATTGCTGGATTGTGCTGCTTCATCATTTGTGACACCTCAAATGAAACAGTGCTGAGGGTGGACTGAGCAGTCTGAAAAGCCCATCTCATTTCACCTACAGATGCATACTGTTATACTGCTCCTCTGCACTACGGTGGGGGGAGAAGGATATTAAAAAATGCTTTTTCTGACTCTGAGAACTGGACTTATCCCTACAGTTCTCCGACTTCATGCCTCTCTATAAACTCAAGGTAAAAATTGGCCGTTCTCCTCACATCCTTTGCCAGTCTTGTCTATTTGGAGCAGTGACAATGACTTGATGCAGCCTTTGACTTCGCTGTAGAAGTCCTGGAGACACACACTGTTAGTGGGTAACAGCGGGGGAAGATGAAAAGAGCCTGTCACAGATGTTTGGAAAGCCTGTTTTTGGAAAGCCTGTTCAGCCTTCCTCTGGAAATGGTTATCCTCCACATCTCAGAGAGTAAATTCTTCTAGGTACAGGGAGTCATTCAGCTTTCTTCTAGCATTTGTGATTCCTAGCTGAAGCCAGAGAATCACTGACATAAATAAAGACTGCTAACATCTGAGTCTGCGTTTCAGGAGGCTCCTTACTTTCTGTAGTGCACATCCACTAAATTAAAACTGGAATTGAATAAAAAAGTTGTTCCCTGATTCCCAACATATTTCATATGTGGGGTCATTTTTTCCGTAGCTCCATCTTCGGCATTATCGGAGAAACAGTAGGTGTTAACAGAGGCCAGATGGACAAAACCTCCCCAGGCTACAATATACCAGTACTGTGGAGTGAAAACCACCCAGTCCAAAGCTAAACTCTTGTTCAACACTAAAGTCTTGCTCATCACTGTTTTGGACAATATCCCCAAACTCTCCAAGTACGGCAAGAGTACATCTTCCAGCCCACAGCAATGCCTGAGGAGCAAGAGATGCCACAGGGATTCAACTACTTCAGTCCAAGAAAGTGCCTCTCTTTCCTCTGTCCATTTCTGATTAAGGTGCTGCCCCCTCCCACGGCACTTCCTGCCTTCATTACCATTGCTGTGTGCTTTTCTCCTTGTAAGGACAAAGCTGCTAAGTAGTCCTTCAGTTGTCAAGCACAGATTGCTGAATTGACTTTAAATGAACATCATTCCAGCAGGTTAAGCACTTTGCTTAAATGGGCAAAAGTAAAAAGATGAAATTGACATGTCACTTGAAAAAAGGAAATGGAGTCCAGCTTTCAATAGACAAAGACAAGAAACATCCTTTCACTGAAGGGTTAGTTTACAGAATGACTCTTTGAATTCCATGGTTTTACAAACCAAGCCAGAGGTGCTAAGTTTAGCAGGTTTACATCCCCGAGTGACGCAGGACTTGCAGATGGTGCTTGGCTCACAGCGGAAGCAAACGCCTTGTCCCACGTGTCTGCAGACACACAGGTGTTCCTCCATTGCCATCCTGGCACACACGCCCTGGCAGCCAGCATCCCTCAGCCTTGTCACCCCTATGCCAAGTTATTGCTC